CAGATACTCAGTTTCACCCCCATGCTCCCACCTGGAAGCCCTATTTCTGCAACCGAATCCCAGGAGGGTGTTTCATCCCTCCAGTGAGCATTATGGCCCTCACAGCCATACAGGGCCACTGGAATCAGCAGTTTCAGAAAAGGTAAGATCCAGCCAAGAGTTTCATGTTAAAAAAGGACAATAATAAGCAAGGGAAAATTTAGGTGATGGTACAGAAGCTTGAATAATGAGATCTAATTCAGATTGAAATAGCTATTCCTGGAAAGTGGCAGGAGTCCTACTGTGAAAATCACTTCAAACTAAGCAGTGCTCATACCTGACAGGCAGAAGAAGGAAGGTTAAGTGAGTGTGTCTCTTTCTCGGGGTCTTGGATCCCCAGAACAGGCAGAATGTCATAAAACAGCAAAATTATCTGCACTTTCCAGCACTGGTGGACTCTCACAGTCACCCAAGTCACACACTTGCTTTGCAAAGCTATTTGCTGGAGACAGGTAGCCAGCGTGGCTAGGGGAACAGGGGCAGAAAGCTTGAGCTAGGACCACCAACTCCCTACTCTGACCTCACAGCTCTTGGGGGATGCTGTGCCGGGAGCCCAGCCCGCCCCAGCCCTCTGCACCTTCTCCCAACAGCTATCAGACCCCCGGAGATTACAACAGCGCTTTTGGGAGACGTGAGCAGCTGAGCCCAGCTACGCACCCACCTCCCCAAAACACACTTTGGCTGCACCACAATCTTTCGCTTCCTGACTTAACTTGGATTGCATTTCTATAAATCACAACTCACCTCTACGCCTTGACGCTTTCCCCCTATGTATGAAGAATCCCTAATGACACTGCGCTCGCAGAGATTTTTTGTTTTGCTTTGGGTTTGGCTTTTTTATTGTTGCTTTCTTGACCTTTTCCAAGGTGTTTTTTCAAGGACTTTTCACAGGCTTGTATTGCCTGGTCTTTGTAAAGATTTCAAGGACTCTACAAGATAGGAGCTATCTAAACACTTATGCTAAAATTGACAAAATTGTAAAGGAACACACTGGAAAATAAAATCTGTCCTTGAGACCAAGGGGATATTTGACAAAGCATTTCCCATCCCCTCTTCTAGCCTGTTTTCTGTTGGTAAGCTTCACCAGGAAAGCAACTTCTCCTGCACATTTGTGAAGTGCCCACTAACCATACCATGTAGCAGTACAATCCTGAAGTCATCCCAATTCCTTGCCCGCAAGATTTCTGGGGCAGAGAAATACAGGCATATAAATACGATTATTTAGCATGCAACACGGCAGTAAGCAGTGGGACACCTTCCATAGGTCACAGCTCCATCTACTGACTATTTCACAAAATAACAGTGTGGAAACCTCCGGGGAAAGCTGCTCGGAGCAAGCTCTGTCCCCCCAGACTGGGCTTTGGACACACGGCTCTTTGCAATCATTTAGAAAGAAGCCCGGCACAGCAACTCAGCCCGAAAGGGAGAAGTAAACCACTCTTTTCTGCAAAGAAGCCTCTTCACACAACAATAGGTCTGCGGTCATGCTTGAACCTACAACTGTGGGTCCTCAAATTGTGGTATTTTAGTGTTTCTGGAATTAGTGCTGCAGAGGTTTTAACAGAAGAGTTATTTAAACAAAGCCAACATGTGCTTGGAGCTAACCACTTTGGCAACGTTAGGGTCCAGGCATAAAAGAGAAAACATTGTGTTCGTTAGATCCACTACTATCTGAAGTGTGGCAGCAGCTGAGCACCATGTGATAGGAAAAAAATGTAATTTTACAGAGAAACTGAGACTAGACCACTGTCACATGTGAAATCTGAGGAAGATCAGGGAAGTGGATACGGTTCACTCAAGCCACATCTCCCACTCTAACCACTAGGCCCTTCTTATGTGCACAGAATAGCTCCCTGAACCATAAAGAAGATTACCCCTCCCATTCACACAGAAGAAAAAAGAATAAAGAAAAACACTGCAATGATTTATCTGCCCAGAGGGAAACAGTCTTCTCTAAAACTCAGAGGAGACCTTGCCCTTGCAAGCCTCTTGTTTGCTGATGAGGGCTCCAGATGAGTCCTGTTCTGCTCACTGTGTTTCACTGCAAAAGGGGCAGAACTGAATCAAAGGCTTTTAATGACTTAAATACATAAACTAATCTGTCCCAAATAGCAGCAAACTTCAAGCAGAAAAGTGCCCACTAGAAAACTGGATGCCACAGAGCTGTCACAAGACTAACAGACATGAGAACAACTCTCTTTTTGGACCAGTAGAACAGAAATACATAATACTATCTCTATTTTATAGTCAAAGGGAAGAATTAGAGAATCATTTCAGGCTTTAAGCCACCAGTGTGATGCAGGAGATTTAATACGCAAGCTCCCACCACCACACCCTGTATATACACCATCTTCCAGCACAACTCCGACGCCGAAACCAGTCTATTCTCCCCAGATCGGTTCCAGGTGCTTCTGTGATCCAAACCCTCCTGTGCATCCACATCTGAAAAAGGATTGCACTGCACTAGATGACATTTTCAAGCCCTCCCAACTCTATCACCTGAAGAAAACTACTGGTGCATGCCCAGCCCTAAGCCTTTCCCATTCCCACGCGGGTTTCTTCTCTTTTTAGAGGCATTGGGAGAATGGGATTCACTTTGACCCCATCTCCCTGTTCAACACCAGCAATCACTTTGCTGCTCTCAGCCTAAACAAGATTATCTCTGCAGCCTTAAAACTGTAACTCAAACTCTTAATGGGACCCAAGGAATATGGATCAATTCCCCCAGCTCAAGAAAGGGAGCAAACAAAGGTTCAGAGCCTTGTCTTCCCTCCTCTTGCCTCCTCTTTCCCACCTACTCTCCATGTTTTCCCCGCACATGCAGCATCTGCACACATTCCAAACAAAAAAACAACAACAACAAAAAAGGATAAATCACCTTCTTTCATACTGTCACAAAGATATGTAACCTCACACTTGCTGCCCAATGGGCTCTTCCAGTTTAAAACTTGGATTAAAGAGACACTTGCAGCACATTTTTAGAGGAAGCCATGCTGTGTGAATTAGAGCCTTATTCACAGGTTTAAGCAATGAACTAGCTCACACACAGATTTTATTGCACATCCCTTTGGCCTTGGAGTAGCAGGCAAAATGCAGTCAAGAGAAAGTCAATTCCTGACCCCATCTGAAGGCACATTTGTGCAAGGATGAGACATGGGATCACTGGAAAAGTCACGTGGTTAAAGACTGACTGATGACTTGTGGAAGACTCCAGGCTTTGCCTACACATAATTTTCTGTATTTTGTTCCTTCCATTTTATTACTAGAGACAGTTGCATGAGAACGGGATCTTTGTTGCTTAGGAGAGCATCTGCTCCCACTGCTTATCCTCCTGAAGTCATAATCTTACGTGACATCAAAATCATTTCCAGAGCCACCCATTACAGTGTACAGAGGATTATGACTTCAGGTATAGAATTTGCAGTGGAAGCAGATGCTCTCTCTTCAGGAAAAGAAAACCAACCAATGAACCAACCAAACAAAAAAACACTCCAAAAAAATCTTGTTTTCATACAAACATCTCTATTAATAAAATACAAAGGAAGAAAAATAGTATGACAGCCAGAACTGTTGCTAAATATAAAAATAGTTTTTCACATTTCCACGAGGCATCAGCTGCTCTTTGGAAAGTTCCCAGGATTTAAATTATTAAGAGGTACAGAATGTAGTGAGAATCTATGCATGACACAGAAAGAGGGAGAAAAGACTGCAGAACAGCTTATTTCTGCTCAGTAAGCGGACATTAAAATTTTGGCCAGTGCTGCAGCGGCATCTCAGAGCGGAGGGCAAGATAAAAACAGGAACTGCAGATTTTTGGTTCTTTCTAAGGACCCCCAAAGCACAACTGAAATCAACCAAGAAATGCTTTTACAGATATGAGGCCCTGTGAAAAACAAACTCAAAGAATCCTTGTCACATCACAAGGAATTTACTTAGATCTTTCCACTATCCCAGAAGGACACGGAGCCTTTTAGAGGCAGCAACAAACAATCTCGTGTGCAGTTTGATAGGTAGCTAATATAGTCATAGGCTCTTCTGGATGTGATCCGCGGAAACAAGCCAAGTGTAATAAGTCAGTTTGAAGCTGGAGAGAGGCTGGGGGGGGAGGAGCACCCTTTAGGATGCAGTAATAATGCCATGTGATTTGAAATTTTTATTAGAGCTTAACAGGGTAAAGCAACAGTAGGTGACAAAGGAAACAGACGGAAGGCGGATAAAAAGCCTTATAGGAAAAAAATAAATAATGGAAAGTCTGTTGCATGGGAAATATTTTGTAAGATGACTGCCACTATTAGAAGATTTCAAAATGCCAAGCGTAATTAAAAGCTCTCTTTTCAAATGCAGTTCACGGCTTGAACACAAACGTTTCCCACCACGTGAGCCTCAGAACACTGCAAGGGGCCAAGCAAAATGCATTTAAGAACTGCCAAACGTGCAAAGGCAGTTTGTACCAATTCTCCCCCCCAAAGCACCCCCCCCCCCCAAAGAAAAACCCTTCACAACAACCTTTTAAAGGCTTTGAATTGTGCTGCCAGGGGATTATCAGTAAGTGACATTTACAAGTGATTAGAGGACAGAGAATTATCTTAGTCACTTGTGGGAAAGGAGGAAAGCTTCAAGGTCAAATCTCTCAGTACTTAAAATGTCGGCAGATGTTTTGTTTACACAAAAAGTGTCATTTGATTTATGATGGAGCTTTATATCCAGAACTTCAACTCAGCCAACGGAACTGCGGAGAACATGGGTGGGAATGGAATCAAAAATTAATATAATACCTTCAAATATTTCACTGATTCACTCTTATTAAAATAAGAGGCTAGTTCATGTGCCAAGCGGTTACACAGTACCTATTAGCTTCTTGGAACAAGTGCTCCAAGCCATATAAACCTTGGCAAGCAAAGAAACGGAGATAAATCTTCAACAGCTCCAGAAATCCCACATCAACCCCTTTCCGCACTCACCTCCGGACAATGGATTGCTGGAGATTTTTGCAAACGGTAAGAGATTCTCCCATAAACATGTGGCACATGATGACCTCAAGGCAGTTGGCCATGAATGACATCACTGCGTCAGACTGCAGAGTCCCACTCCGGGAGACGATGCAAAGCCGCTGGAGAGAGGAGCAGTGACTCAGTGCCTGGAAGAACTGGGCGCCTGCACAGAAGTACGGCTGTTCCAGCCTGCAAGAATAAACAAAAACAAGTCAATGGGCAATTCACGCTTGGGCCGCTTTCAGACAAGAGGGAAGACAGCACATTCATGGCAGGGGGGATGGCAAATGGAGCAACCAGTGTCCCCCACTGCCCGTTTCACTGAGACACGCAATGACCTTCCACCTGCTCATGCCAGCGGTATGGCAGAACAAACCTAACACTGCAAGCTCAGACCTCTTGCTCACTAGTTCCTCTTGAACAGTGTGTGCTAAAGGACAAGGATGCAAATAGGCAGAAAGGCCCTAAACTGCAGAATTTCAGCACCCACGGGGAGTAACCCTGGTTTTGCAAGTTTTCCACAAAGCACATGGGGCAAGATGTGCCTTCGGTCTGACCAGCAGATCCATTCTGGTCTCGTGACAAGCACAGCCTGGCTTTTGCTACCTGACATCCACCGAGCAATTGATGCGGATTTAGGGACTTACTGCTCCAGTGCACCAACCACTGATCAAAGTGGTCATCTTCAGTTTACTGCCTAGAGAGAAGCAGGCGTGAAAAATTCACAATGAGCACACGGTGATGCAGAACTTGGGCCTCTGAACCAAAGGAGTGACCACAACCAGCCCTCTCCGGTCAGAAGATGGAAAAGGACCAAAGCTACTGCTTTCCCACAGGAAGAATAACCATCATCAATCCAACCTTTATCTTCAACACTTAGCCAGAGAAGAAAGACTGAATCCTCTATCGTGGCTATCCACAATCTTACATCACAGCCCAGAGCAGGACAACAAAATGGCACCGTCAAGCCATACTTGACCAGTGAGGGGTCTGATTTACCTAGCAGCATAACTGGATGATACTCTCACAGAGCCCAGACTGCAGGAAACAGAACCTGCTCAGAGCTGGTGTCACCAGGAGAGTACATCTGCTTAGTGCCAATTTACTACAGGGCCCCAGAGCACTTGGGAATCCCCAGTCATTGGGTCAGCAAGGCCAAGAGCTCCAAGAAGGTTAATCCATTAGGTGATAACAAGCTGTCAGTCCCAACCTGATCTGGATAATCTCTGCACAGGCTTTTGTAGTACATGAGGGTGTCTCAGCAACTTAATCCTGTTAATTGATAAATTCTGCTTTAGAGTCTCAGCCTGTTACTGCTGGTCAGGTAGCATTGCCTGAAGAGATCCTAACAGTCCATGAGCACTCTGAGTAACAGCTTAAAATTAATATTAAGTAGATGGGAAGCCTCTTCAATTTTTCCAACAGTGTTATCGGTCCATTGTAAATTTAGGACAAAAAGCACAGAAGCTCCTGCAACATCGCGGCAGGTTTTTAGTCTAAACTCTGTGACGTGACAGCCATACTTGCAATACTGCCTTTCACTCGCTAGATGACAATGTTGCTCTGGAATATCCCCTTAAACTAGTTTCTCAGCCTGGAAAATGGGGAGGGGAAAAAACGGTAGAAGCAGCAGAGCGTTATTCAAATTAAAATTAAGCTACATTATCAAGAGGAAATCCTAAATATTAAAATCCTCTTAAGCCTATATAAAACCTTAGACTTTACTCAGGAAGGAACAATGACAGCTTACACCGAAACTGTCTGTTACATGGAAACACCCTTGTTCATCCTTTATTGAAGGCTCTACGCTGCCTCCCATCTTTATTGCTCTTGGCCTCCATCTCAAACTCTCTGGAAACTACAGGGCCTAGACTGAGTGAAGCAACATTACACACCCAAATCTCCTTCCCCAGATCTTAGCTTTTCTGTGGCTCCTGAAGGTTAAAGATACATTTACACAACCCAAGCCATTAAGCAACTGAATTTCCAACAGCTGCCGTCCCTTGGATGAGAGACCAACACACTCTTTGTCTGTTACAAATTGGAAGCAGTAGAAAATTAAAACCCTCCTGATGTATTTTAGCCACCCTGGCTCCCTTCACTACTAGAATGAATCAGGAACATGCATGCAAACACCAGTCTCAGCTGATAAGCAGTAATTTCAGTCACACTAACTGCCTTTGTGATCACAGAAGTGACCTTGCTGTTGCTACTGTTAGGCATTTTAGATCCATTTTGTGAACAGAGGATGACAATGGGACTGATACGTCTAGCAGTTTCACCAACAGAAGCTGATTTAGGGTAAAAACAATAAGGGGGGGGAAAAAAAAAAGCATCTTTCTCAAGTAGTAACATTTATGTTCACACAGACTAGTGCAAGGAAAGTCACAGTTTGTGCCCTTTGCTTTCATAAACACGTTTTGACTACCGTGAAGCGACTTTATGCATCCTTTAGGATCAGATCCTTGGTAGGATCCTTTAGCTCTAGCAGTTCCAAGAAAGGAACATCACAGGACAAACTCTAAATTTGGGGTGCTTTCATTATACTATCAAGAAAAGAAAAAGAAACCAAAAAAAAAAAAAGGAATTATTTTAATACAAATCAAAGGCAGAAAAATATCTCATTGGGAAACCTGAGAAGAACTCTGCATTATCTAGACATTGTAGGAGTCCCTTCCTGGAAATTTAAGAGATGCACATGTACACAAAATCAAAAAGTCAGCAAAGCCATGTAGTATTTAACCTAGCACTGCCAGGCTGCTAGCTCCCAAATATGCAGCATTCACTCTTCCTTATCTAAAAGGAAGGCAGTTGCAGCATAGAGACTTTTTGCTCTTGGAAAACTGGTTAAAGGGCATATCCTGAGCCCTCAAGGTCAGCATGTGATGCCTTCCTGTTCTCCACAAGTCAGGAAGGAAAACAGCCAGTTTTCAGGCCATTGCAGCTACTTTTGACCAGAACAGGAACACTCACAGTTTTAACACTAGCCACAATAAACCACACACTACATTTCTGAAGATCCACAAACCAAATGGAGGTGTTCAATCGCAGCCCCTCACCTGAGATCTTTCAAACACTTGCAGTGTTTCAGCATGTCCATGAGGGCAGACATATAGACCACTTTCCCCATCATGCCCAGGTTGGCCAATGAAAGAGTCTGCAAATGCTGGCACTGCAATCCAATGTTAATAAGCCCAGAGCCAGTAATAATATTTGGCAGTTGTGCTAAGGTGAGGCTCTGCAAGTAAGTCAATTGGCTAATGGCAGCCACCTCTGAATCTCCCACGCTTTGTGCCCGGACACAAGGAGGCAATGAGTTCCGAATTGCTGGCTCGTTGCGGGGCATAGCAGAGGAAAAACTGGACCCAATTATTTCCAAGGTTTCCAAAAATCGGAGGCTTCCCATCAGAGCCCAGAATACTGTAGACTCTATCTTCTGATTTGCCGGGTCCGCTAAGTTCCTCGGATATGTCTGTACCCCGATCCGAACTTTCCTTCCAAATGTTTGGGGCACCAAATTAGATGCTGCGGGAGGCTTTTCCACATTTGCAGCAACATCTGTGATGGAGCAAACTGGTAGCGCTAATGAGAGCAGGTGCTTTAGCCTAGACAGAAGCTGGCACAAGTGATTCCCTATGCTTTCTGAGCTGTGATGGTGAGCTGCAGAGAGGTTGAGGTGTCTCAGGTTGCAGCAAGACACTACCAGGCTTTCCAGAATGCCACTGTCAATGTCATCTTCTGCTTTTCGAAACAAGGACTCTGGAGCCAGACAGTGAACACAGCCACTGAGATTCAAACTGGTCAAGCTTTTAAGATCTTTCCCACCATTAATAACCCTCTGGATCAGGTGACCACCAGATAAGGTGCATCGGCTAAAGCTGAAGTAGAAAGGGTTGTTGAACTTCAAGTGTTGCAGGAGCCCAGAGCCATTAATCCAGGCTTTGGGCAGTTGTAAAGCATCCAGACGTACATTTCGAGCCATAGAGTCCAGGAGGTTTTTAGTGGCTCCTGTTTCCGCAAAGCTACCAGGGGCAGAAATAAGGAAGGCATGAAGGTTCTCAGGTGTCCGATCACTTAGCACCGCCAAGTACAGCCTCACCACCTCCTGATTAACATAGCCAGGAGCCAGCCTGGCATAGAAGACGCGGAGATTCTGGTAGTGGGGCACATTGCTCTCACCTACCATTAGCTGCCCAGAGAGCATAAAACCTTCTCGCGAGCGATCAAGGATCTCAAAATAAAGCAGCAGTTTCTCAAGGCTAGTGCAGCACGGAACGACACCATATGACGGCGTGTAAAGTGTTTGCTTCAATTCCGAGACACGGCTAAGAGTGGCTTTACACTCACTGCTTAGCTGACTGGCATCAAAACCCGGATTTACATCTATCGCCAGGGAGCGCAGGTGCTGGAGCGTGGACAGCATCTTTGAGAGACGGAGAGAGGTGACGTGGCACCCAGACAAGTTCAGTTTTACCAGGTTCTTGCATCGTGTTACGTGATCAATAGTGGAGCTGGGCAGCCAATAGCACCCAGCCATGTTCAGCTGGTAAATCTCTTTTCCGATATCCCTCATCAGTTGCTTCACTTTGTCTTTGTTTACCTGTACTCAAACAAAACCAGATTCAATGAGATATATGGCAATAGTGTGTACTGACTCAGTTTCTCATCTGAAGATGGGGATAAGAGTGGTTAGCACTTAGATTATATGGCTTATTCAAAGGTTTGAGGATGCCAGCACAGTCTAAAAATTATTATACTGCTGGTAGCTGGCTTAGTCTGCCATGCTTTGGACTCTTTAAGACTACAGTTCCTTTAGCTTCTTAGTCTGTGCAGTTCTGTTACTGACTGAGGCCAAATCTGTTCAGCAACTGAGTGTGGAATGGAGGACCATCTCCATTTTCTAACAGCAAAGTGATTTCAGCAGAACTAGCTATCTATGGAAACTCAAACTGAAAGAAGAATGTTCCCATTCTCCTTCATCCAGTTTCCTCTTTTGGAAATGAGTAAGAGAGGCTTCCCCCTTGCCTGCACTTGGTGATACAGTCCTCATAAAATGTATCACCCTTCATTCCCAAGCTTTATTTTTGTTATAACACATAAACAATTTCTGGCTTAGCTGACTGCATGCCTGACAGCAATAAGCACACGATTTTTTTGCACAACAACAAGAAAAATGTATGTTGAGAGAACGATAACTTTACACAACCACAGCTACAAATGGAGAGTCACGTTTACTTTCATTTTAGCTTCCAGAAACACAGAGAAAATAGTTTTCACTAACAGTATTTTATATAATTAAGGGAGCACAGAGCTGTTCTAACAAAGCATTCTGGAAAACAAATGCTTTTATAAAACAGTTTATTGTTTATTTGATTTCAGAGTTCAAGAGCATTTCATTTATGCAGACACACTGGAAAGTTCTACTTCTTGGCATTTTTTCAGAAGTCAGATTTGTCTTCATAGTTAACAGAAGAAGCAAGCTACTCTCCCCACCTTATAGTCTTTCTGAAGTAAAACTGTATGGGTTAAACTCTTGTCAAGGCAAAGTGTTGCGAGTTTCCTGCAGGTTCTCCTGACGTTCAGGACAAGGTCGGTACAAGGGACATAGCTGAGAATGTGCAAAAGGATCTCATCTGAGAACTCCATTAAGTTGACGCCATTACTTTCCTCCTCACTCTCCCCACTTACGATCTCCTGGGGGAAAAAAAAGAAAAAGAAAAAAGAAAAAAAGAAAAGCTACTAGCTCAGAAACTTCAGCAAATCTTCTGAGAAAACAGATGCCGCAAGTCTCAAGAATTTATGAAGTGAGACAAAACAGAAACACTTGAATCTTTAAGTATTTCCATCTGCATGAAAAAAAAAAAAAAAAAGACAATATGGAGGTAGTACAAATCTTCACACAAAGCCACAGTACCTTCACTTGCTCCTTCACTGCTGACTACTTTAGAATGCAGGGAAAAAAACGTTTACATTTAGTCCACTTTTGCCACTTACTTTGCAATTGGAAAAGTGACTGCCCCTGATTCTTGCTAAATATAGCACAGCAGTCTCTTTCTACATCCTTCCTCTAAGTGCCATCCCTTTCAATAATCTTAAGTTATATAATCATATGTGTAGAGAGATGTATACACACAAACAAAACTGCGATCCAGCATCAGATCACCCTTAGATCTTCCGCAGCGTGTTTACACCTTAACCCCATGAAGCCACCCGAATGACAGCCGGGGTCCAAAGAGGCCATGAGAAACCTCTTGATCCTCCACCCCATGCTCCCTTCCTTCGGCACCGGGTGAGACAAGAGGCACCCCAGCAATCGCACCCCAAAACCACCAGGACCGCTTTCACAAGAAGGCGGCAGGGCGCACGCAGCCTGGCGTGGCACAGGAACCCAACGTGGCCCACAGCTCACCGTGATGGTGGTTTCGTGGGGGGGTGGCTGGGACTTTAGCACCGTCTTTAATAAAGCTTAAACAAGCCTTAATGCCATAGCATCTCCTACAGGGAAGGGGGGGGAGCTGGTCCCACATCACAGACCCCGAAAAACCCCCACAGCGGCACCCCAGAGTAAAGCGATTTCGGCGCCCGCACCCAGCCCCGTTAGACGGCGGCAGCCCGCCTCGGGAACCGGCTTCCCGGGGCCTCCCCACGCCAAGTCCCGCGGGGAGAGGCACCGCCGGCACCTCCTGGCCCCACCGCCGCCCTTTGAGCCCCCTCGCCCCATCCGGGGCCAGCTCCAGCCCCTCTCGCCTCGTCCCCATCCCTGAGCGGGGGACCCGGCTCCCCCCAGCCCCGGCAAACGGCGGCGGAGCCCCGCTACAGCCCCAGTTAACGGCCCTCCGAGGGGCCGGGAGTGGGAAGGGGTGTGGAGGGCGAGAAACACGCACGCCCCCCCCCCCCCCCCCCCCACATCCCAGCTCACCTCTCCACAGCGGAACATGGCGGCGGCCGCGCAGTCCCGCCGCCACCGCCGCCTCCCCGGGCCACCGCTCAAACCGGCCGCGTCCCGGCCTGTCTCCCCGCCGGCCCGGCCGCCGCACAGTTCTTCCGGCGCTGCCATGACCCGTCTTCCGCGCCTCGCCACGCCTCCGCCGCTCCCTCGGCCGTCCCGCGCCGCCATCTTGAGCGCGGCCCCAGCGTTGGAGGGGCGGTGCCGGCCGATCTTCGGCGCCATCTTGGGAGCGGCGCCGCCATGATGAGAGTGGCGGGGCGTCTGCCCGCGTTGTGTCGTCCTTTCACAGTTCGGCTTACCCCCTCAACTTGAGGGTGGTAGCTCTCTGCGGGGGCGAAATCCGAATTGTTCAGCCTGGCTCCCTCGCCTCTGCCCCAAGGCCACCAGTGCTGAGGCGTCAGGGATGGCAGGAGCCAAGCAAGCGGCCGCTTGAGCCTCCTCCGCCCTCGGCAGCTCCCAGCCACAGGCCCTCTTCCATCCCAGCAGCTGACACATGCCGGACCCGCACCCCATAAAACTCTTGAGTCGGCTCCAAAAATGTAAATCCGCCCTGCGAGGAGCTGTGGGGCACAGGAGTGACTCAGCGGGCGAGCGGGTGGGCAGAGGGAGCCCCACCGGTTTGGTGGGACACCCCGCAGGGCTGTTGTGTGGCCCCGGGGGCGATCGCTGCATTAACATCCTGGTTTTCCGGGGAGGTGGCAGAGCATTTGGGAGAACGAACCTTTCCCTGCTCATGCTGTGGTTTGGAAGCAGCCGGGGCATGGAAGGCAGGAGCACTGACTGTGATGGTGCTAACAAGGAGGCTGCAGGTACCACTCCCTTCCTCCCAGGAAAACCCTAAAGGCAAACTTGTCAGCTGGTCATGTATGGAACAATCATCAATCTGGGCTCTAACCAGTCTAAATATTCTAACATTGCCTGCGGATGTGAGATACCATCCTTCACCTTGCTGATGCACAGGGGCCCGTGCCTAAGTCATCCAGGGCTGCTGTGAGCGCAGCCATTGCACACAGCGACGTACAAGGGGAGCAGCTGGCTCAGCACTGTTACTATTAGCTCCTCATTCCAAATCTCAAGTACAGACAGGACCAGAGCGCTGGAATTTCCAGTTACGTGTATGCTTTGGTAATTTTGTTATAGAAAATGTGTTTTAAAGATGACCCACAAAGGAAGATGAATACGTTGCTGCTTTATTCCCGCTTGATTGTTGCCATTTAAGGCCATGAGTTAGGTTAGGGGTAGACTGGGGGTTTTGCTTAGAAATAACAAGTACATCATGTCTTGATTACCTATTTTGCTTCTAGGCCTATGAGAAGTCTCAGGAGTTGAAGAGGAAAACCCCTCTTAGCCCTTAGATGAGGGAGAGCCTCAATAAGAGAATCTGTACCTGCTTTGTTTGTCATATGTTTGACTTAAATAGAAGGTAATGACAAATTAAATCCAGAGGGCCTCCAGTTAAGACCAACTTGTTTGACATCTGGGAAAAATACCAACCTACTATATTTGCAGTCATCAGGGAAAGCAGAGACCAGGGTGGAGGAGACCTGCATTTCCAATGCAAATGGTAAATAAAATCATCAGCAAGGCCCGTAAGCAGACTAAAAGCCCTGCCCAGAGAGCCAGATCAGCTGGAGCAGCCTGTGTTAGGACTAGCCACGGGTTCCCTCCAGCCCTGGGGCATACATGGACCAGACAGAAGTTGGCAAACCCAAATAAGAACTGGGAACAGAGATAGGTATAAAAACCTCCCGAGGAGAAACCAGACTCGCAGCAGTTTGTAAGAGGAGCTGCGCTTGGACTCATGATCCACCAAATGAATGAGCAATGTGGCGGTGTAGATAAAACATGGAGGTTGAACACAGGGCAGCAGCAGGACATCAGATGGGTGGTAAAGAAGGGAGGAAACAAACAGCTACACCAAACTGGCATTTCTCTTGATGGTGGCTGGGAGACGGCCAGTCAGTGAGAGGAGAAACCCTCCCTGCTGCACCTTGCTTCAGGAACGCTCTTCTCAGTGTGGGTACTTGGGAGCCTTCTGTGAAGATGGGTTCAGTTCAGGGCTGGGCCGTCTCAGGGCAGACTTTGTTCATGTTACAACTAATACACAGTTTTCTTAGCCCAAAGAAGACAAGTACATACCATACTGTCCCAGTCTGGGAGGTCAAACAAACAAATTATTGCTAGTATTGAGATATTTTGCCCTGTATAAGATGAAATTTCTTAACTGTTCAAGGCTAGACTGATCTGGTGGGGATTTTATATTTTTCCCTCTGGAAAGTCTTGGGTTATTTCTCTCCTCTGATTCTGACTGATATAGTCTGGACATCTCATCTTTTTGTCAGCACTACTAAAGCCCAGCTGGACTACAGTGGCCAGAGCACTTGGTATGCTTGGGTGAACCGCTAGCCCCACTACTGTAAGTGATTTTCAATACTTGGTACGGTTTAATACTGTAAGGCCTGCTAAAGTAGATTACAGATGGGTATAATACAAGCCAGGGCAGGCTCCAGGTCAGCAATCCCTCTGGAAAGACCAGCTTCAAAGACCAGGACTCCTCCTGCCCCCAGCACAGCCGATACCCACAGTCCCATCCCTGAACTGATACCCTGGAAATCCCATTTTCTGAAGCTGATGCTTTGCACCCTCGGAGGGGACTTCTGCGAGGAGGCCAGTTTTGTTTGAATGCTCTGGGATTTCCTGGGACTTTTGCACGCAGCCAGCTGGCACCTCTTCTGAAGCAGCACACGCTTGCTAATGAGAGAATGGGGACCCCCCATCTGGGGACTCTTTCTCGTCAGCGCTCCTTGACATGGCTAAGAGACAATGAGGCCCTTCAGGGCTAAATCCCAAGAGCCACAGCCATCTCCTTTGCCAAGGACATCACTAATTCCTGGCGGTGGCTTGATTCCATAAGCGGCTCAGCGAGGTGACTTTCCAGGTCACTGGATAATTGCAGGTGAAGTGGCAGTGACTGTCTCCAGCAGGAGAGAAAGTTGGGAGCTCTGGGGGAAGAAAAGGCGTAAAACGTGTTTGCTCAGCTCCCTTGAGCTGATCCAGCTCCTCCCGGGCAGCTAAAAGGAGGCAAGAAAGGGCTGGGTGGCTTGTAAGGATCTACAGCCGAGTCCTGCTGTCTCTGCAGCCTGAGAAATCCTGGTGCGCTGCCACCGCTGAGCCAGACAGGGGAACACGCTCAGCCTGGCTCATGGGTGGCCATTTTAAATCTCCTGGTCTCCTCACAACCCCCAGCTGTTTGTGTGCTGAGAAGGAAGAGGAGGTAGCCAGGGGACTGAATATTCCCAACACATCTCCTTTGAGTCTTCCCCATGACTGGTGGCTTCAAGAGCCAGAATATGGCTAAACCAACTCCTCTACCGCCCTTCCTGTGATAGGCCCCTCGGCATTTCCCCACCTCTGCGAAACAGTGAGGGGCGAACCAAGCCCTCTGAAACACGATGATGGAGAAACTGTGGTTAAAAAAAAAATCCCCCCTCTTCCAGCACTTGGCGTTCCTGAGAGGAAACCACCCCCGGCTCCCCCTTGGTCGCTGGAGTCGGGAGCAGTGAGTAATGCTCGCAGGCTTCCCTGCCCGGCACCACATTCTTTTCTCCAACATGTAATGGCCCAGAGGAGGAATAAACCAAGCCGTGATGGAGCAGCCTGAAAAGTAGCTGTGCATGCCGTAGCCTTGCGCGGGAGTGTCATCGGGAATGGCTGTGAAAGGCTCAGCCTCATTTTATTGGGGAGGGGGCCTGGTTGCCTGAAACAGCAAATGAAATAGGAAGAAAGGAGAAAAAACACCCTGCAAAGTATTAACGGGCAGAAAGCCTCACCTGCTGCTCTCTGGAGCATGAAAATCAGCCTGGCTTCGCTGCACCCAGCAGCTCTGCACCAGCCGTCGCTCACCCTCACTCTACCTGTGCCCGCACCTCTGCCCACCTGAGCTGCTCTCCGTCTCGCTGTATTTTGCTGCTCTCTGGTTTCTCCCTCACTGGCACCACCATCTCTCCTGTTCTTTGTGTCTCAACACAGTTTTCCACAGTGATCAGTGACCATTTCAGGGAGGGCTGAAGAAAGGCGCCCCATTTCCCTATTGTCGTCATTTCTTCTTGCTTCCTGGCCTTTTTTCCTGACCTGCTCCCACCGGCTCCCTCCCCAGGAGTTGCCATTGCCTCCTCCTCACCCCATTTCCCCAAGACCTTGGGTTATAAGCCCTATTTGGGCCTTGCTCTAACCTGTTTCACCTCCTCTGTTGCAAACTGGTGCTTCCAGTTAACTCGTCTGCCCAGCCCAGTGTCTGCATCTCCAGCCCTGCCAGGCTCCTACTGCACCCGGGGCAGCCGGGAGGGAGGCTGGGAAGATGAAGGGCAGAAACCGGCAGGTCCACCCTGAATACAGCATGATGCCTGTGCAGGATGAGGCCAGGCAAGAGGATTAAAGAGCCAAAGGAGCCTGTTCCCTGCCTTTCATCTGCTGTGAGCATGACACAATCACAGCCATTAGCTCTTCAAAGACAGGCAGGTTGGAGGAGCCTGGGGAAGCCAGCACGCCTGTGAGCGGGGCTTGAAGGTCTGGTCTGCCCAAGTTGGCAATGAGCAGTGTCACCTGCCTTTGCTCTCCCTGGTCCCTGACCTGGCAGCCTTGGTCTTCTCTGTCTCCTTCCTCCCACAGCAGTTGCTCCAGCTCCTGGGGCTCACAGGCTTTGCTGTGCCCAGCAAGGTCTCAGCTCCCAGCATGGCTTTGCGAGGGTCCCCATTGCAGCTGCTCCTTTTCAGGAAACTGGAGAATTTGATCCATCAAACAAGGCTGAAGCTTCACAGAAGGTTCAGAAGCCTGGAGGATAGGGACAAAGCTGTGCAAACCTCCTTCCTGCCAGAGGCTGGGCCAGAGGCAGGTATCTGCACTACCCACAGTGAGTCCTGGAGCTGTAGGTACCACTCACCAAGCAAGAGGCTTCTCCTTCCACACACCCTTTTCCCAGCCCCACCCCTGCCCAGCCATGTATAACAGCCCAGTGGCCTTGCTCTCTGAAGTCAATTTTTTCCACTTCACAAAGACTTTCTCTTGCTTTCACCTGAAAGCTGCTCCACCCAGCAAGCAGTCTGCCAGACACGGTGAGTCTCCAGGCCCAAAGCCAGGCCTCCCTCCCAGGACAAGCCAAGAGCACGACAGACAAGCTTAGACACCTGGCGCAGGGAGAAAAGGGGACACTGCCCCCTGAGCCATGGAG